GGATGCCTCCCAAACAGATCAAGCCAATCAACTGTCTCACCCATTCAGAGGGCTTGATCCAGTTGGGGACCCCTCAGCCATTGGTTCATAGTTTATGTGTTTCCATTCGTTTGACTGTTTGTCCCTGTGCTTTATCCAACCTTGGTCTCAACAATTCTCGCTCATATAAACCCTGGAGGAGGTGGGAATGAGGGGTGGGCTGGGGGGAAGATGAGGAGGGCAGGAGGGCGGAGAACAAGGGAAGCCATGGCTGATATGTAGAACTGAATTATATTGCAAAATAAAAATAAATAAATAAATAAAAACAAAAAACTTAGGAGTTAAAAAAAATAATAATAAATAAATAAATAACTTTTTTATAAAAAAAAAAAAGCTGCTTTGGCCTACAACAAGACATAATAGAACCAGGTGGGAAATCCAAGTAGAGATACAGGGAGAAGAAGGGCAGAGTCATCAGGCAGCCCAAGGTGTAAGATGCCAGCACACTGGTAATGCCATGGCCATGTGGCAAAATACAGATTAATAGAAATGGGTTAATGTAAGCTTAAGACCTAGTTAGTAATAAGCCAGAAAAATAGGCCAAGCATTTATAAGTAATATAAGCCTCTGAGTGATTATTTTATAAGTGGCTGCAGAATGAGACAGGATGCAGAAAAGCCTCTGACCACATTTGGCACCCAACCAAAGTGGAACAGGAACTTCCACATAAGACCTGAGAAAAAGGATTCTAGAACACATAAATGGAGCCAGAAACAACTTCCTAGTTGTGTTTCTCATGCGGGCCATGGTACAGAGTCACCAGCATCTTTAGCACAGCCTGGCAGATTCCCACTTCAGTATACAGAGGCATCTCCAAATATGGCAGATTTAGCTTTTGCTCATATAGACAAGAAAGGTTTGTGGCCTGGCTACATGCTACCTGGTGGAAGCATGGGCCCCAGAGTAGGGGGGGCGGTTGTTAAAAGTTACTCTTCTGGGTACTTCCATCATGTTGGGAAGTCGAACAGGGCATAAAAATAAAATTTAAATTTAGAGATTATAAAACTATGCAGTTAGGTTAAAGCAAAGTAGGAATTTAATGCTTTTTGTTACATTTTTGAAAGTATGTCTGTTTCAGGCTGTATATGAAAACTTTTTTCATTGTACAGGAGTATCATCAAATACTATGAAAGGCAAACACAGTGGAACCTAAGCTTTGTCTTCTTTTGTGTACTAGTATATACTGATTATTTAACATCAAAAGACTAGGATAGGAAAAGAGTGTAAGAAGCACAAAAATGCAGAGATTAAACACCAGTCTTATTTGCCTGAGGCTAACCTTGTAAATGTCAATGTTGTGCATGGATTCAAATCTTTTTTTTTTTTTTTTGGCTAGGAAGATGACTTAACTTTATCAGGTAGGGAAGGGTAAAAGTTTCCTTGAAACCTTCATTATAGCAAGACGCTGATCAGTTTTCACTGATAAAGGAAATCGAGAGCAATAATTCAAAATGATGGGGAATTTCATTTGGTTCCTGGTTTCGGTCTACTGTTGGATAGACTTATTAATTAAGGCCAAAGCTTAAGCAGAAATCATGGCTGCAGGAGTGTTTTGAAGGACATTTTGTTTATTTCACCTTGGCCCCTACTCAGGAGACACACCATACACACACACACACACACACACACACACACACACACACACACACACACAGACAGAGAGACAGAGATAGAGACAAAGACAGAGAGACAGAGACACAGAGAGATAGAGAGAGACAGAGAGAGAGATAGAGGGAGAGGAGACAGAGAAAGGCAAAGGCTGGGAGCAACATTGCACTCCAGGCACACTCCCAAAGATCTACTTCTACCCCTTAGGCCATATCCTCTGGTTTCTCACTATTCCCAGTCATCCATCAACAGTTCAATCTGTTAACTAAATTAGAACCCATATTAACCAATTACTTATCAATTATATGATACAAAACTTGTGAACCAAACTCTGAACACAGCAGTCTTCAGTGAACAATTCGAAACCAAACTGAGTTCATTTTCTCACTTTAGGTTTCTATATATGGTAATATACCTACATATGATGACGTGTATGCATTTGGCTATTTTAATTTATTTGTGTCATTTTGGTAAGTATTTAGTAGACATCTAATGGAGCAACAGATTAGCTCAATGAATTAATGTATATGCCATAAAGCCTCACACCCTGATTTCATTCCCTGGAGCACACATGAAATAGGATTTTCCTGCTTGGCTGTGTTCTTACCTCTACATATATGCTGTAGCATTCATGTACAAGCATGCACACACACACAGACATACACACAAGTACACTTACATACAAGCACACACACATAGATGCACATACAAATGCAAATGCACATGCATGAACACACAATTAATAAATAACAAAGAAAGAAATAAAGGAAAATTGATTTTCTTTTCTATTTTGTCCTTGAAATAAATTGCTGAATAAAAATAAAACTGTTTGAATTGCCTCTCTAGACACAAAGAGGAAAAAGTAAACTGATTACAGTAAATGAGAGAATTATGATACTGGGATTTACAGAGATCTTGAGGACAGTTGAAGATCATTCTCAATCAAAAATTTAGAAAAGAATATGATAGCAGATGGAATCCTTTGTCAAACAGAATTCAAGAGAGAAATCGTAGTCTAAGGACTTAAAATCATGTCCATAGAAACAGACATGCTGCTGGGTGGTAGTGGCACACGCCTTTAATCCCAGCACTCAGGAGGCAGAGGCACATGGATCTCTATGAGTTTGAGGCCAGCCTGGGCTACAGAGTGAGTTTCAGGAAAGGCGCCAAAGCTACGCAGAGAACCCCTGTCTCAAAAAAAAAAAAAAAAAAAAAAAAAGAAAGAAAGAAAAGAAAAAAAGAAACAGACATGCTAAATGAAAAACATGAAGTATTATGATTGAACTGTAAAACAAAAGACTTAAATATTTGGAGTAGTTTTAATTGTTATAGCTATTATTGTCTTTAGCAATGGCCTAATAGATTATTGATGGTTCAAAGATGATTGTAAAAATATCCACAAGGTTAACTGTAAATCAAATATACATACCATCTGATTCAAATTCTAAAAGCCAGCATTCCTCAGGAACTTGTGAAACCAGTTTTCCTCATCCGAAGGAGCCATTTCTTTATCCCTCCTTTGGCAGAAGGGAGAAATTGCTATTTCTAGTGCCTAATAGCTTATCAAAGCACATGCTGGACACCAGGCTCCATCAGTACAATAAGTACCCATTACACATTAGAGTCCATGCTGGCATCCCTGCTCTTCTTACCCTACCCCTTACACCCAAATGTTTTAATGTATTATGTATTTTCTGCTTTTGGTGTTTTGCTATGGACATATTAAAACTACAGAGTGAATGAAAATATTTTGTCAGGTTTTCTTTTAGGAATTTCTATAGATATAGTTCTTTTTATATTAATTTCTGAAATTATAATTACAACATTTCTCCCACTCCAAATCGTTTCATTTACCACTCCCCACTCTCCTTCAATTACATTACCTCTTTTCCCACTAATGGTTATTGCATATATTATGTACAGATATTCCTAAATATAACCTAATCAGTCTATACAATGTTGGTTGTATGTGACAAGCTGGCCCTTTGGCACTGGACAACCAATTGGTGTGTTCTTTCCTGGGGAAGACAACCTGTCCTGCTTTTAGCACTCATTATTGCCTATAGTTCTTTGTATATCATGAGCTTTCCCCCATCCAGTTAGATAAAATTCTTATATGTATGGGTGTGTTTACTTTGAAGACAATTGCTTTGTATGATCTAAAGAAAATGTCTTTTTTAAAAAAAAATTTGAGATGAGGAATGATATACCCCAGGCATTCCTCTAACTAATTGTATAACTGAGGATGACCTCAACTACATTAGTCCAATGTCCAGCTTGCTAAATATCTTAAGATATTTGGGTACATTGATATAGAGTTTTTAATTATGGTCATTGTAACAATTAGCTCATCCTCATCAAAATGGCATGGCATCCTATCCAAAACATTGCCCAACAGTAACTGAAAGGTTTATTTTGAAACTTTTAATAAACCTTTGATGGAGCATTGTCAGTTTTGATTTGTGCAGGTATACCCATGATGGCCATAACTTCTAGCAAATGAGTGATTACAGAATCAGCTTTTTCAGAACTCAAAGCAGTTGCCCATTGAAATCCTGAATAAGTATCAATAGTATGGTGTACATATTTCAGTTTTCCAAATTCTGCAAAGTGAAACACGTCCATATGCCAGATTTCATTCCTTTGAGTACCCTTTGGGTTACATCCTGCTAGTAATGGTGTTTGATTGTAGAAGGAACAAGTAGGACATTTCTTTACTATTTCTTTGGCTTGTTGCCAGGTTATGGAAAAAATCCTTTTTTAAACCTTTACTATTGACATGATGTTTTTTATGAAATTCTGAGGCCTCCAGTACATTTCCTATCAATAATTTATCAATCTCATCATTGCCTTGTGCTAGAGGGCCTGGCAGACCAGTATGGGATCGGATGTGAGTTATATATAAGGGATGACTCCTTTTCCTGATTGTATCTTGTAATTGAATAAATAGTGAAGTTAATTCTGAAGCATCAGGGATAAATTCTGCAGTCTCAATATGTAATACTACTCTTTCAGCATACTGAGAGTCAGTTACTATGTTGAGAGGTTCTGAAAAATCCATTAATACCAACAGAATAGCATATAATTCTGATTTTTGAACTGAATTATAAGGACTTTGAACCACTTTACTTAAATTTTCTGATTTCCTTTCCTTGTTTGTTGGCATCTGTATAAAATGTACGAACTCTAGATGTGGGTTTTTCCCGTACAATTCAAAGCAAGATCCAATCAGCTCTCTTTATAAGATCAATTCTATCGCTTTTGGGATATTTGCTGTTAATTTCTCCCAAATAGTTACTGCAAGCTCTTTGCCAAGTACAGTCAGTGCTCTTAACCACTGAGCCATCTCTCCAGCCCTGGCTAGCTCAGTTGGTAGAGCATGAGACTCCTAATCTCAGGGTCGTGGGTTCGAGCCCCATGTTGGGCACCAAATGTAGATGTAACCAACCGTCTTATTCAATAAGAAACACAGAGACAATTCAGAGAAGAAAGCCAAGAGGTCAGAACTAAGAGCCTTACCCTTCCTGCTTCAGCCAAAAGAGCTCTCCGAAAAAGGGACCTATTTCCTGTGTGTATGTCTTTATATAGTCTAGCTGTTCTGCCTTCTCCTTGGTTGTAAACCCAAACACATGACTGCCTCTGTAGAGACTTCCAGGTCTTCTATGGTTGGTATTGAGATTAAAGGCGTGTGTCTCCAATGCTGGCTGTATCCTTGAACACACAGAGATCTACCTAGCTCTGTCTACCAAGTGCTGGGATTAAAGGCGTGCACCACCACTGCCACACTCTTGCTATGGTTCTAATAGCTCTGACCCCCAGGCAACTTTATTTATTTACATACAAATAAAATCACATTTCAGTACAAATAAAATACCACCATAGACTTCCATCATTTTGTGAATTTATCCCTATGTTCAAACAATAATTTCATGCCAGTCAAGGAATCACAGAACATGTTGTACATGCATGGCTCAGTCTCCAAATTTCATATTCTTTACAGTTTGTTTTGGTCATTTTTGTTTCTTTGCACTTACATTACATTTTTAACTAAAACCTTGTCAATTTATGTAAAAGCTTCTGTTGGCATTTTGAGAGCAATTATTTTTACTCTGTAGAGACATTTGTGGAAAACTGCCATGTTAAAAGTTATTGAATCTTTAAATAAAGAGAAAATGACATTTTATTTACTTAGCTTTTCACTTTTTAAAGCAAAGTGGTGAAATTCTCAGTGTAAGACATACTTGTTAAGTTGTGTTTAATACCAAGGGAAACTCTTGTTTTCAGGCAGCATTAAAAGGAAACTAAATAATTTTTTTGTACATCTAAGTTTGTTGTGCTTTCCAATTGGAATAATCAAGCTTTTCTAATATGATCTAATGTAAACTTGGGGTTTTGGCTTTCCAAGGAAGGTTAAAACCTAACACGTCATGAGTAGCTAGTCATTCTTTGGGAGGGGAAATAAGCAACCAATGTTTCTGTCTATTAGGTCATTTTATTTTTTTTTCCAGTAATTTCATAAAGATACTGTAAGTGGGAGTCATGGCTATAATGCCATCTATTGGTTGTATGTTTCTATTAGAAAACATTTAATTAATTATTTTTTCGAAGGTAGAGAGAAGAAACATTTCTAGCCCTAGCCTGATAAGCCTGCATGATTCTTTTTCATTGTTGCTAGGCTCTTTTCTTAATGTATTTCATGTTTTGAGAAATAGTAAATATCTGAAAAAGAAGTGGATATTATTTTGTTGGTTAAGGTTCAATTTGTTCATTTTAAAATGAATTTTATTTGAGATGAATAAGTTAAAGATTACATTTAATGTGGATAAAGTAAATTTTCTCTTCCCGAGGGTTACTATTAATTAAATATAGTAACACTTATTCACAGATTTTTCAAAATAAACATGGCATGTGTGAACTATTAGTGCCATGGATCTCAACCTTCCTAATGCCACAATCCTTTAATACAGTTCCTCATGTTGTGGTGATCCTAACCATAAAATAATTTTTGATTCTACTTCATAACCACAATTTTGGTACTGTTATGAATTGTAATGTAAATATCTGTGTTTTCTGATAGTCTTTGGTGACTCTGTTGAAGTGATTGTTTGACCTCCAAAGGGTTCCCACACTACTTGTAAACTGTAGTGTTAGTGGGACAATATTTCTTGGATTATTCCTGATGGGATAAGAAAAATACAAAAGTGAATGTTTCTATAATGGGGCATAAATTTATACTAGAAATGCCTAATCCAAAATATTTCTCCCATTAATGTTTCTAAAATGACTTTCATTTCATAAGGGTTGACTTACTATATGTGGTGGTTTGAAAGAAAATGGTCTCCAAAGGGAGTAGCACTATTAGGAGGTGTGGCCTTGTTGGAGGAGGTGTGGTCTTGTTGAAGGACATTTGTCACTGTGGAGGCAGGCTTTGAGTTTGCATATATGCTCAAGATGCTGCCCAGTGTCTTAGATAACATTCTGTCACTGGCAAGGTGTGGGTCTCTGAACTACTTCTCCAGCACCATGTCTTCCTGCATGCTGCTATGCTTTACACCATGATGATAATGGACTAAACCTCTGAAACTTTAAGCTGTCACTTCAATTAAATGTTTTACTTTATAAGACCTGCCATGGTCATGATGTCTTTTCACAGCAATTAAAAAAAAACCTATCTAAGACAGTATCTATTATTATAATATTATCTGTTGCGAATGTTCCAAATATTGATGATATTGCAAATATGCAAATATATTGCAAAATAATTTTTGGTATGTGTCATTTGATTGTAACAACAGTATTCACCTATGGGAATAAAAATGATGTAAGATAATTGTGAAAACTGAATGAAAATCTTAATGAATAAAGCATGGGAGAGACTATTTCCTTCATAAATAACATGCTAGTTTGGTTTGGTTGTATCTGTAGGTTCCCTATCATGATTTTAATGTCCCTTGCTCATAGAACCCCTCCTCTCTCTCTTCGACTGGACTCCTGGAGCTCAGCCTGGTGCTTGGCTGTGGATCTCTGCCTCTGCTTCCACCAGTTCTTGGATGAAGGCACTATGATGACAGTTAGGGTATTCACTGACCTGATTACTGGGGTAAGTCAGTTCAGGTACCTTCTCCATTATTGCTGGGGTCATCCTTGTGGATTCCTGGGAACTTCTGTAGCACCCGGTTTCTCCCTATATCTTCCTCTTTCATAGTATCTCTTTCATTGCTCTACCACTCCATCCCTGTTCCAGCTCTATTGCCCCAACTCATCCCCAGTTTGCTCATGAAGATCTCATCTAGTTCCACTTCCCAGGGCAATCTATGTGTGTAGCTAGAGTTTTCCTGCCTGGCCCACAGTCAGGACAAATCTTTGTCACCCGCCAGTCCCACAGCCATCAGACCCAACCAAGTAAACACAGAGACTTACATTGTTTACAAACTGTATGGCCGTGGCAGGCTTCTTACTAACTGTTCTTACATCTTAAATTAATCCATTCCCACAAATCTATACCCTGCCACGCGGCTAGTGGCTTACCGGAATCTTCACATGCTGCTTGTCCTGGTGGCAGCTGGCAGTGTCTCCTTCTGCCTTCCTGTTCTTTCTTTTCTCCTCTCTGTTAGTCCCGCCTATACTTGCTGCTTAGCCACTGGCCAATCAGTGTTTTATTTATTGACCAATCAGAGCAACACATTTGCCATACAGAACATCCCACAGCATATGTGTCTCTCTTAGGATCCTCTTTGTTAGCTAGCTTCTCTGGAACTGTGGGTTGTAGTCTGGTTATCTTTTGCTTTACATATAGTCTCCACTTATGAGCAAGTACATACCATGTTTGTCCTTCTGAGTCTGGGTTACCTCACTCAGGATGAACTTTAAGACTAAGAGCTGTGAAGCCTCCATGGGACTGGACTAGGCTCTTTTTGCATAAGCAAGACAGTTGTGTAGCTTGATCTGCTTAAAGGGCCCCCTGGCAGTAGGATCAGGATCCATCCCTGGTGCATGATCTGGCTTTTTGGAGCCCACTACCTTTGGTGGGACACCTTGCACAGCCTTGATGCAGGGGGAGAGGCTTGGACCTGCCTCAGCTGAATATACTGCTCTGCTGACACCCCATGGGAGGCCTTACCTTGTCTGAGGAGCAAATGGGGGAGGTTGGAGGGACAAGTCTGGGGGGAGGGAGGAGGGAAGAGAGGGGGATCTGTGGTTGGTATGTGAAATGAATTAAAAAATAGCATGCTAACAAGGGCTTACTTATAAGATTTACATCAAGTCATTCCATTCACAGATAAAAGGATTTCCTAGTACACAATTACTCAGGTTACATTTCAAAAGATATAACAAAATTAGCATGTTTATGGAATCAATGTCCATATAAAGAAATAGACCACTTCTCCTGATATGTTTTAATATAAATCATGTTAAAACTTTGCAATTTCCCATGACCTTTAATAGTTTTATCCTTGATGATTTCTTGGCTCTGTCACTTACAAATATCATTTTAGTTTCTTTTCCCAGCATTAATTACTGTTATGTCTATGTGAAATCAATAAAATTTTCATAAGGAACTAGGATTTAGGCATGGTCATCATCAGCATCTCTCTTTAGGAGACTTCTTACGTTTTTCTACTAAAAGCATTAGTCATACATGAAGAAGTACAGTGGGTACTGGAATATCTTAAGTGAAGTTTGTAGTGTTATTTGGAATACTCTTATTAAAATCTAATTTTACAAATAATTATACACCTATCTTGTAAGGTCTGTGATAAAATTCAAGGATACAATTTCATTTAAAATTAAATTGCATTGAACCTATTTTCTGGAGCCAAAAAGAAATTACAGTGGACACATAATATTTTGTGATATATTTGAAGATTTGATATCTATTATTTACAAAAACTATCTACAGGTTTCTATTTTCATGAGTTTGTATCTTTATATATTTGTGGAGATGTAATAGTTAAAATAAAGGAATATTCTATTTTAAAATATAGCATAATGTGGTTAATCACAGACAATAAGAGACAGTGGTAAAACATAATTGCTACAGAGGAGAAAGTTGAGAAAAATACAGGTCGCAATTGTATTTTAAAATTTATTACTATATGACATGTGACAGCTAGGAACACAGCTTCAGAGTATAGCCAGGGCAAGTAAATGCTTCTTTGAAACTTTTTGTGATACTTGCTGTAATTTAAATTTATGTTATGATGAGAAATAATTATAAACATGTAGTTATCATTATCTCACTTATCTAAAATAATTTCCAGAGTTTAAACTTAACATTGCAAAATCAAGTGTCTGAATGGGGCATAAAATTGCATAAACATTTAGTTTCTGCCATTCATCAGAAGATTTGAAGAAAATCCATTGTCTTCAAAGATTTATACCTTGTCAATCAACTATGTCACTCAATTGATAACATTTTCCTCTTAC